TACCTCCTGCACATCCCCCCTGGGGATCAAGCCTGCAACCGGGGCATGTATCCTGACCAGTAATCAAACCGTGACCTCCTGGTTGAGTGGCCAATAATCTACTTTTACTCACTGAGCCACACTGGCTGGGCAGCAATGTTGGTTTTTAATTGGCCTGGCAGCTTTAAATAGGGTGGATTCATTTGGAGCAATATTGCATCAGGAAAACCAGCTGTCAAGCTGTCACTGTGACGCAGTTTTCAAGTGAGGAAGCCCTGAACTAAACAAGTAGAATCAGAAATTGAGGAGAAAGAGCAAAATCCGAGAGAACTGTGAAGACTGAAATAGTAAACCTTAGAACCAAATAAGATGAGGTGAATAAGAAGACGAATTCTCAGGTTCCACCAAAGGCATCTCTAAGTCTTAGGTGACCTGAAGCTTTACAGTTCTTGGGCCTCTCCTTAAGAAAAGAATATGGACTTAGAGTCAAAGTCAGGTACAAAAGTGAGTCCTTAATAAGGGCCATTGCACGTGAAGGTCTCATTGATTTCTGTCCAGATTGTAACCGGTGTGGCGACAGCCCTGACAGAGTGGCTGGGAGAAGTAGCCTTTTAAGAGAGAGAAATATAAAAACTTCATTTTAATATTAAGCTTATGTAATATTAGAATTAGAAGGGGCCTTTGAAAATATTTAAATACCTAAAATTCATTCACATGGGTGAGTCTGGGCCATCTTAATAGAAGCCTACAATTCGAGGTGACAGTTCCCATTACAGATACTGTCACGCTTACTCCGTGTTCCTATGATACATTGTTGGAACTTTTACTCACTAAATAGACTCTTACCCTTTATCTTAGTGAAATCAGACAGACAGTGGGTCTGGGCTGCCTGTCACGACTTTTGCCAAGTAAACAGAGACAGGGTTGAATCATGTGTGAGTGTTTATTCCAATCCTGCCGGTAGCATAGGAGAGCAGCAGGTCATCCACGAAAATCTGCTCTTACCCCCTCCCCCCATAAGCCAGCTGCTTATATTGGGTAGAAGGACAAGGATTACATGGGGAAGTAGGAATTGCAGGCATGGGAGGTAGGCGAGGTACAATGGGTGCAGGTTACAGGCAGTGCGGGCGGGGGGTCACAGAGGGTGGGCACCTCTGGGACTGGGTTGTTTCGGCAACAAGGTGGTTAATCTCCATGATGGTAGGCAGTTCGCAGAAAAGGAGAGTGGACCGCAATGTGCTTTCTCTAATCAGAACAGAACAATCACAGTTAACAGAGCATGATTAGTATTTCCTATAACCATAGCTACTCCTCACTATTCTATTTCTGCCCCTAACATTAGCGGTTCACTTTGCTGCCAAAAACACATTGATTTTATTCACGGAGACACACAAATATCATAAGCAATACTGTCACATGCCCTAGCCTCATTGCTCTGGCTGCAGACCCTTACAGGAGCGCAATCTCAAACTGACCTCTGCATCGCCCGGACAGTGTGGTTCAGTGGTTGAGCATCTACCTATGAACCATGAAGGTCATAAGTCAGGGCACCTGCCCAGGTTGCAGGCTCAATTCCCAGTGGGGGCCAAGTGGGAGGCATGCGATTGATGATTCTCATCATTGATGTTTCTATCTCTCCCTCTCCCTCTCTGAAATCAATAAAAATATATATATTTAAAAACTGACCTCTGCATCTAGCACAGGGCCCATTAGCAGACACTCAAAAATATCTGTGAAAGGTATGCTTCATGTGCCAAAGCGCTCCACCAAACTACAGGGAATTTCTAACTTTCCTCCATGAGTTCCGATCACATGACCTTTCCCAGGCATGAGGAAATTGCTTTTCATGGGACATAAGCCTCGCATCCGCTTCTCAGTTTTCTGAGGTCTGTTCTCTGTATCCTCTCTGAAACCCGTCAGATAATCCTCCCACAGGTTCTAATGTGCAGAGAGGCCACGCAGGTGTTGTTCCTACGGAGGCTGGAGGACGATGTTACAGGAGACAGTAAACCTCAAGACAAGCGACACCAAGGACAAAGGGCACTTCCTAATAACAAAAGGGTTGGCTCAGCACAAAGACCTGCCAATATTAAATAAGTCTGCGCCTAATTCAAAGCTTCTAAGTTCATGAAATAAAAACTGACAGACCTGCCCTAACCGGTTTGGCTCAGTGGATAGAGTGTCGGCCTGCAGACTGAAGGGACCCGGGTTCGAATCCGGTCAAGGGCATGTGCCTTGGTTGCGGGCACATCCCCAGTGGGGGGTGTACGGGAGGCGGCTGATCAGTGTTTCTTTCTCATCGATGTTGCTAACTCTCTATCCCTCTCCCTTCCTCTCTCTAAAAAGTCAATAAAAATATATTTAAAAAAAAACCAAAACTGACAGACCTAAGAGGAAAAACAGATAAATCCACATTTCTAGTTTGATACAAGTAGACAGAAAATCAGTCAAGATATTAAAGACCTGAAAAACAGTATTAGTGAAATACATTTGAGACCTAAATGTAAAAACATTACACAAGTCCCACAAGAAACAGGAGTTAATTTCTTTAGAAATGGGAGTACTTGTGGGTTAAAAACACTTGCAAGGCAAAAAACATAAGCATATCATAAAACAAATGAGAAAAATTATTTCTATAAAATGATGAGATCCAAAGCATAACAGGACAATGGACAAAATTCGCTAAAAGATGGTCCACCAAAAATAGTACCTTCAACCAAAGAAAAGATAGTTGTGCTCAACCCTAGTAAGAGAAAGTCAGCTAACACAATGCTGATGATGCCCTAGCCCAGTGGTCAGCAAACTCATTAGTCAACAGAGCCAAATATCAACAGTACTTCTTCAAAATAGACTCGCCCAGGCCGAAAACCAACTCCTGCGCATGGGCCACGAAGTTTCAATCGCACTGTACACACGCCCACACGTGGTATTTTGTGGAAGAGCCACACTCAAGGGGCCAAAGAGCCGCATGTGGCTCTCGAGCCACAGTTTGCCCACCATGGCCCTAGCTGGTTTGGGTTTGTGGATAGAGTGTCGGCCTGCGGAATGAAGGGTCCCAGATTCGATTCTGGTCAAGGGCACATGCCAGGTTACCGCTCACCCCCAGTGGGGGGCATGCAGGAGGCAGCCAATCCATGATTCTCATCATTGATGTTTCTATTTCTCCCTCTCCCTCTCTGAAATCAATAAAAATATATTAAAACAAAAACACTGATGGAAGGATCTGGAGAGGATTATGATAAGCAAAATAAGCCAGTCAGGCCCTGGCCGGTTTGGCTCAGTGGATAGAGCAGCAGCCTGCCGACTAAAGGGTCCCAGGTTCGATTCTGGTCAAAGGCATGTACCTCAGTTGCAGGCTCCTGGCCCTGGTTGGGAGCATGCAGGAGGCAACTGATCAATGTGTCTGTCTCACATCGGTGTTTCTGTCTCTCCCTCTCCCTTCCACTCTCTTAAAAAAGGTTGGGGGTGGCCCTAACCAGTTTGGCTCAGTGGAAAGGTCCCAGGTTCGATTCCGGTCAAGGGCATGTACCTTGATTGTGGGCACATCCCCAGTGGGGAGTGTGCAGGAGGCAGCTGATCAATGTTTCTCTCCCATTGATGTTTCTAACTATCCCTCTCTCTTCCTCTTTGTAAAAAATCAATAAAATATATATTTTTTAAAAAAGGTTGGGGGCCGAAACCGGTTTGGCTCAGTGGATAGAGCGTCGGCCTGCGGACTGAAAGGTCCCAGGTTCGATTCCAGTCAAGGGCATGTATCTTGGTTGCGGGCACATTCCCAGTAGGGAGTGTGCAGGAGGCAGATGATCGATGTTTCTAGCTCTCTATCTCTCTCCCTTCCTCTCTGTAAAAAATCAATAAAATATATTTAAAAAAAAAAGTTAAAAAAAAAGGTTGGGGGTGGGGAATGTCTTCGAGTGACAATTAAATAAATGAATGAATAAATAAAAAGAAACTATATAAAAAAACAAAATCTTGTATCAAAATAAGCCAGTCAGGGAAAGACAAGTATCACATGATCTCACCCATGTGTAGCCTAATGAACAAAACTGAACAAAATAAACAGACATGGAAGCATGGAACAGATTGATGAATCTCAGAGGGAGATGGGGGTGGCAGGGAGAAGTTAACCAAAGAACTTACATGCATAACCCATGGACACAGACAGTGCGGTGAAGGCTTGGGGGCAGGATCAGGGAGGAGAAGGTCAATGGAGGGGAGGAAAGGGGGACATCTGTAATACTTTCAATAATAAAGGTAAATTAAAAAACAAAAAGAACCTTAGTCACTGGTGTTCTCAGTGGTTAGAGCATTGGCCCAAGGACTGGAGGGTCTCGGGTTCAATTCTGGTCAAGGGCATATACCTCAGTTGCAGGCTAGAGCCCCAGAGCTGGTTGGAGCTCATGTGGGAGGCAACCAATTGATGTTTCTCTCTGTGTCTCCTCCCATCCGTTCTAAAAATCAATGGAAAAAAAGATCCTAGGGTAAGGATTAACAAAAACAAACAAAAAAACCCCAGTTGGGACTCGAGGATTGGCATTCCCCATGTTGCTGGTGCCAATGTCGGAGATGGACCAGATGCCTGACCACATCTGAGAGCAATTAAGACCCCAGGGCCAGGTGTGAAGTGCATTAATGTCACCTGGTCATCCTTTCAGAGACACTATTTCTCAACCATCATTTCATCTAGAAGACTCTCAGATTGTCAGAAACCCAAAAGTGACCGCACACTCAGCATGGCTGTGAATTACCAGACACCCTCATATATTACTGATGGCAATGCAAAATTGTGCAGCCCATGCAGGGGAATCTAACGGTATATATGCAAATCAATTTTCAGGAAACCACCTTAAAGGGGCAATGTGAGGGAGAAGAAAAAACAATTCAGTTCTCACTGGAAATAGCCATCTCCGGGCATTGGCCTCTTTTTTTTTTTTTTCTTTTTTTTTTTTTCTTTGTTTTTTTCTTTTTTTTTTTTTTTCATTGGCCTCTTACATACTCGGACTGCCGAGTCTTCCATCCAGGCCCGGCTAAGTTCGTGTCTTCTTCCACCCATTCTACAGTGCTCGTGGCAAGTCCTGTGGTCCAACGTCCTTCTGGCTGCTACGGCGTCTTTACAAAGAAGCCTTCGGCCCAGGTTTGCCAGGTTGTCCCCAAAGGGTCATTTTTGAAAGATGTTTTACTTTTTTAAAGACAATTTTGCTTATTGAGGTATAATTGACAAAGCTGCTAATGTTGTCAAAATGTGCAGGCCGTGGCTTGATACTTGTGTACATGGTGACTGGCTGCCCCATCCAGACAGTCAACACCATCCCCCGTGTCTATCTGTTGTGTATCTGTGTGGCGAGAAGTTGTAAGCTCCACTCTCTCAGCAAAGTCCAGTTATACAAGATCACAGCCTTCTCAATGACGGGCACACGTTTTACATAGGTCCTCAGACCTGGTTCACTTTATAGCTGAAAGCCTGTACCCTTTTACTAACCTCCCCCATTTCCCACCCCCCAGCTGCTGGCAACTTTCCTGGGCTGTTTCTGTTTGCCTTTTCCCCACTTAGAGAAATGCCCTCAAGCTCCATCCATTTTGCACAATTGGCAGGATTTTCTTTTTCCTCGTGGCTGCATAATATTCCATTGTATGTAATACACCACATTTTTATCCTGTCATTTGCCATTTTTGTATATTGGCTGTTGTGAATAATGCTGCAAGGAAACTGAGGCATATACAAATTAATAAACTAGCCAAAGAAAAAGAGAAACTTGCCAAAGGTTATAAAGTTTAGTCTCAATGCAAAAATGTACACCTTACTTTTCTGCATAGAACTTATCTTCTCTCCACTAGGTCAGTAGTTCTCAAACTTCCAGGGCCTTGTCACCTCCGCGCCCCCCGCCCCCAGAGTTCCCACCTGGAGCCCTGGTCACCCCCCCCCCACTCCCCGAGAAAGTAGATAAAAGATTTCTGAATATGGAAATATATAGTAGTTTTTTTTTGTTGTATATTTGTTTAAATTTCTGAGGCGCTTTAAATTTGTCTTCTGAAAACGCATAAAACCCCCGGGCCCGGGGTTAGGGGAAAAAGGGCCCCGGGTCACCTTTT